CCCGTGGGATCTTGGGCACGCACGCACACGTGCCTGGCGTGAGTTTTAAGCCACTGGATCCGTGACACGAACCACAGTTGACTACGTGGGAGTCCAGCGACATAGCCATTACACTAACTGCTGGTTCCCAGAAATTTCTTTCTTTTTAAAGTAAGTTGGAGGATAGGATAGGGTTAGGTTTAAAGTTTAGTGTTAGGGTTAGAGGAGGGTTGGGGTTAAGATTGCAGTTAGGGGTTAGGGTTAGGGTAAAAAAAAAAAAAAAAGAAAGTAAAGTAGAAGAAATTAGTACATTTTAAAGGATCACCAGAGAAAAGCTAAGTGGTGAGAAATTAGATTATAAATATGGAAAGACAAAAAGACTTTTTAACAGAGCCTCTGGTTTTCAATTGAAATTGGAGGTATAAATTTAAATTACTTGCTCTTAACATAAAAAAAGTAGAAATATACAAGGGTTTTCAATTGAAATTGGAGGTATAAATATAAATTAATTGCTCTTAACATAAAAAAAATAGAAATATACAAGGGCCAGTAGATGGTGTAGTTGTTACATCATTGGATTCCCACATGTCTGAGTCCTGAATCTAGTTGCTTGAAAATCATGCTGGGTACATATGCATGTGTGCCCAAGATCCTGGGAGGGAAATGGAGAAGAAGGGCTTGTGACATGGCCATTCCCTCTGGTGGGTGATTTCTCATTTTCTCTCCTTCTCTCTTTCTCTCTCTCTCTCTCACTTGCTCTCTTCCTCTCTCCAGTGACTTCATGCATCCTAAGGCAAAACCTCTTAAAAAAATAGATGGTAAGGTTTTTTTGGTATACCTTAAGGGATCCTTGGGGGATATCTCCATTTATATCTAGATCTAGACCAGATCCACGTATATGAAGAGGAATAGTGAACTTTACTATGAACAATGGCTCAGCTGGGGCAGCACATGCTGGATGCTGCTGCTTGACAGGCTAAGGCCACATGGTAATCTGGGCTTTCATTCCTAGGCCAACATAAAAAAAAAAATGTTGGAATGGTAGTGTACACTTGTAGTCCCAGCTATGAAGGCTGAGGCAGGAGTATCATATCATAACAAAACTCACACACAAAAAAATACTCTTTAAATGTATAATTCATGCATTTAATAAATGCTTTCAGGGACTTATTTTAAATCTTTTATTAATATTAATGTCTTGGATCACAACATGTCAGAACTATTTAAAGTTACTTGTTTCCTTTGCATTTAATTAGGCAGTTAGTAACTAACATATCAACTTTTATATTCTCAAAGTTGGACAAAATGATTAAGACACGGATATCTTCAAATATTTATTATGAACCAATAAGATAAATCAGTGCTAGCAGTTTAATAAAAAACACTAAATATAGCATTGTATGAGTCAAACATAAGCAATCATAAACTGGGGGGGGGGAATATACACATATCTTTGCAGGCCCAAAGACGTCTATTGACGTGGGGCTGGCAGATGTCATAGTGGTTAAGGGCTCTGGACTCCCAAATGGCCGACCACAGTTCAAGTCCCGGACCCAGTGGCTTGCTTGCTCTCTCTCTCTCTGTCTCTTACTCTCTGTCCCTCTCTGGTCACATTAAAAATAAATGAATAAATAAATAAAGTTTAATAAAATAATTGTTTAACAAAAGTCTATTGATGTGACATTGACCAGTTTGATCTTATAAATTGGAGTCTATATTTTTAGCAATGGTACAACCCCCTGTACCAAAATACTATGTGACTTTATTGTTCAATTTAAAATAATTATATAAAGCTTGCTCCATCAACTGTAACATGCATAATACTGCTAACTCAGTAAGAGAGGTACAGAGAAGTTTATACTGCATTTGGATGCAGTGACACATTAAAGTTGAATTTGATTTAAAAGAGGGATTTAATATATGACAGAAATTAATATCTTTATATGTACAAATTTAGCTTCTATTAATCCAAGAGAAGTAGGACCAAAAGGTCTAAATAGATGATGCATGTAGCCACTCTGGAAAAATCTCTTATTCAGGTCACTACAAATTTATTTCTTTACAAGTCTATTAAACTTTTCTAAGTTCCACTTCAATTTATTATGGTGTTTGACATTGCTGACCTCCTGCTCCGCCTTTAAATCCATTTTCTAGCTAATGTATTGCAGATTTTCGTATCTCAGCTTACCTCTGATTCATTGACTTCTCTTCCTATGCCTGCTCTGACCATTTCATTACTGTAGGATTTTTGTCAAGTCTCTAAATTGGGCTTTAATATGCACTGTTTCAGAATCATTTCTGAGTATTGCCTTCGTTAATATTGTTTTGGTGGTTTTAAATGTAATCTTGTATTTTGAATGCCTGCAAAAATTGCTCATCAGACATCCTGGTAACATTTCACTGTGCCCAAACTAAATTCAAAGTCCCCCCACTAAGATTT